TCAGCCCAGGGCATGGGGTAAGACGACGAAATACAGGAATCAGGTGGTTGTATACAGGGTTATACAGGGTCACAACCGGAAAACACTGACAAAAACACTCTCACCTAATAAGCAAGACTTATATTTAAAAAAAAATCAAAAATTAATTTGTGGGCTTGACATTCATTACTACACTACAGTACTACCAAATTTTGATCATTTCGTGTTAATTTTGCTTAAAACTGGAATTTTCAACAGAACTTTTAATCCTGCGGACTATACCTCTGAGGCAAGGACAGGGAGCACCCAAACGGATGGCTGGGACACAGTGGCCAATAGCAATACTGATGGGACAGGTGAGCGCTGGCGGGTGCATTTTTTATTCACCTGCATTACAGAGACCCTTCTGTGTTCTTCAATAAATGTGTCTCTTCAACATTGTATTGGCATTCTGTCAATGGCAGACATTGACAGTCACATTGGTCTGTGTTATTATTTTTGATGCTTTCATTAGCTTGTTGTTGATGTTTAGCTTTTTCCTGGTTTGCTTCAAGTTGCCTTTTGGCTCGTTAAATGATATATAGTTGGTTTGTATGTACCACAAGTTAGGAAATAGATGCACAGTATTTCAAAGCTAGATACAGTTGTACAAAGGTATACAGGTAATGTTTTACGCAGTATTGTATGTGCAGGAAATACCTGTAGGAGCTATATGTTGTCTTTGTACTGTCAAACAAAGGAGAGGAACTTTTAGTATTATAAAAGGAAGTTGGGAGTGGCACAAAAGTATGTGAGGGTGATTTTTACAGTTGGAGTGAGAAATGGGATACGTTTAAGTGTGAAGCTGCATCGGGGATTAGCTGAAGTCCCTTTTGGTTTGCAGAGATAAAAGACAGGTTGAAATTGCACTTTTTTAAAATTTACAAAATGTTTTTTGAAATTTACACATTTTAATCTGTGGTGAGAAAATGAAGCAGGTGGAGAGAGCCTGAAAACAAATTGTCTGCACAAATTGTCAGTAAAAAGGAGAAATATATGTGTGTAAATACAAGTTACACAAATGAGCAAATCCTGGTATGAAGCAAGTAGCACTATATTAAAGGTAGGGAGGGAATCTGAAAAAAGAAGAGTTGAAGATGCTGAACATTTCTTAGTGGAATGTCATGCAATACATCAAGCTGTATTTAAACTTCATACATGTTTGTCTTCCAGTTGCCTGGAAGAATACCCTGGAAGACTGGGCAGCTGAGGACTGGAATGAGGATGTTGGTGTGAGTTGAACTGAAAGCACTATGTTTTCTGTGCATGTTTTGTTTTGCAAATTACAACTCTATTTCTTATATGTTACAACAGCTCTCTGACACTAAAGTATTTACCTCCTCTTGTGCACCTTCGACTAAAGATTACGTCACACCTGGGCAAAGGTCTGTATTTCTTATACACATCTCCCTGGTGTTTTTCTTAAGTAAAACCAAATCCTAAGGGAGACAGATATTTCAGGAGGGGCATCAGGCATAACATCTGTCCCCTAACAATATGGTTATGGTGTACTGCTGTATAACACGAAACATACAGAAATGATATTTGATCCCTATAATGACAAATTGGTATCTGTATATAATATATAATATAGTAGTTGTGTTGTCATCTGTGAAGATCACTAGGTGACTGAACTCTGTCTTTGCTCTAGTCTGGACCTCACCTCTATAATGAAGATTGCGGTTGACGGAAGAGAACCACCTTCCTCGTCCCAGAGTTTGGTGTTTACCAACTCTCAGCATCACCAGCCGACTCCGAGCTGCAACACCACCACCAACACCAGCTACGCACATGCTGCTCTGGTAGAGACTCTTTCATTAAGCTAATGTTTTTCTTAGGCATCACATAAGAAGTGACTATCTTGATCACCTTCTTTGCTGTAGTCATGAAATATGTGATAAGAAGACATCTCTCATTGTCCTTGTACCATCATGTGTATCTTCTTATACCTACTGCAGTCATCAGTTCTGGGAGCAGGATTTGGGAAACTGACTCAGGCCAAAACAATTCAGCCCAGCCCTGGAGCTCATTTACTGGAGCAGCTAAAGGCTCCTGGACTGGGTCCTCTATCCTCAGCCCAGGCCACTTCCCCTGCTGTCACCCAGAGAAACAACATTTCCATGGGCCGACTGCTGGGCCAGGAAGGATCTGCACCGGCACCTTCATCCTCGAGCTGGGACATGAAGGATTCAGAGCCCAACCCAACCTCATTGTCCTCACAGTTCAGCCGTTAGTAAATTAACCGTAAACATTTGAAGTGTTGCCAGTGATCCAATATTAGATATGGATAGTCGCCTAGTTGCAAAATGAATGTATCTCCTTCAAAATGATGGGCCTGTTTTTAAATGACAGAACCTTTTCAGAAAAGCAAAGTTCCTTATCATTAAAGCTAAAGGTGTCACTTCTCAAGGTGAGTTTAGATCGTTTACTATGCAGAAATAGCCATTTCTAAAAGATAACTAAAATTTAGCACATTATTAACCAAATCTAAGAAAAACGTGTGATACAAATTACTGGTTGTTAGATTAGAAAATAGCTAAAAGTCAAAAATACAAGTATAGCTTGAGGAAAAATAGTTGTCTGAATGCAGTTTCAATTTTTTTTTACAAATTGCCATTGAACTATCAAAAAACTAATCATAAAGGCCCATAAATTATAATCGTATGTTCCCTTTCTAATTTTTAAATTTAAAATTAGGTAGCCTCTCACATAAGCCTTCTTTGTCCATGATGCGTTGTAGCAAGTGTCCATGCATGAAAACATTTTACATTTACCTTAGGGATGATTTTACTAACTCCTTCTTTTTGTCTGCAGGTGAATTTGGCCTGCAACCTGAGCCATCTGTAGTGCTGAGCCAGCTAAGGCACAACGGCACCTCCTTGCCTCTTGCTCGTCAGCCTAGTCCGCCGCTGCATCCCCAAGCAACCTCTGCTTCAGCTTCGCCTGCTCCCCAGCTCATGACTGTTGTTGGTGTCAAAACCAATGCTCCCAATACAGGGCTGGACCCTCAAAATGGTCAGGGCACGCCACAGCAGCTGCAGCAGCGGGCACAGCTCAAAAGCCAGAAACGAAGGATACCTCCTACATCAAAGGTAGTGGTATTCTCAATATTAGTCCTTCTTTAAATTAACATTGCTACTACATTAGACATATAGTAATGTTGCTGTCATGTCTCGCACTCATCTCACACACAAACCTCAGTGGTTCCTCTGGGTTCCAGTCCCACATACTTGGCACCTACCTGTGGGCACCAGATCTGCTGTTTATTTTGACATTACAAACCATGACCGCCACCAAATAACCAAGCCTTGTGGTCTACTTCCTACCGACTGTAGTTCACTCCTCTTCTGTAAACTAGTGGAGAGAAGCAAAGCAGAGTGAAGTAAAAGACACATGGAAAAAAAACAGAAGTCCGGCCAACAGTCAAACTGGCATTTATGAAAAAAGAAATTGTGGAAATGTGGATTCATGAACTGTCAGTGTTTTAAAATCATGTCCTCCGGCAGATTCCATCCACGGCAGTTGAGATGCCTGGCTCAGCTGATGTACCTGGTCTAAACCTCCAATTTGGAGCGTTAGACTTTGGATCAGAGTCGGCCCTGCCAGAGTTTGGTGTTGTGGACAATTGTGTGAGTGCAGCGTCAAGGGAGTCCACTCCGACCCCTGCCTCAGCACCTTCTGCACCAGTACCAGGAATACAGTGCCCCACAAGCCTGTACTCAAAACCAGTCAGGTACTTTTGTCTCTGCTGACTATGTACAACTTGTGTTTTCAGCTATTTGCCTATATCACCTTTTAATCTTCATTTGCCAAAGCTTGTCTTAACAAATCATTTTCTGGTGTTTACGTCGACTAATGTCATTGTCAAACTGAATACTTGCAAGTACTAATGGGCAAGTATTATTGAGTTACCCTAATGTACTTTTTTTTATATATAAAACAGTGTTTAGTCTCTGGAGCAGCCAGAGATCTTTATACAGTGTGGACAAAATTCCAAATGCAAACCTAGAATTAATATCCTTGGCACTTTACAACCAAATAGATACACCAATAAATCTCATGACTAAAATGATGGTCTTTTCTTTAAACTATTTCTTAGGTCAAGTACATAGTTGTGTTTATTGATATATAATCCTCTTCCCCTGCCAGCAGGTGGTACAAAGTACACATCTGAAAGAGCTTCCTGTGCCTTTGGCTTTAACTCATTCATTGCATTCATTCTTGTGACCTGTGACATCTGTTCTCTTCCTGTTGTTTTTCTACAGTGAGTCTCATGGCAGTCCTCCGACCGTTTCCCTTCCTCCGCCCCTGTCCTCATCTGAGCCAGCTTATCATCTGTCCTCAGCACCATTGTCAAGTTTTACCTCCTCCTCCTTAGGAGCTACCAATGCCAATAGTGCACCCTTGTCTTCTTTGCCGACCTCCACCACCAGCTCCTCTTCCTTCTCCTCTTCTTCCTCCATACCGTCCCCCTTCTCCACGGTGGGTGGGACTTACGACGGGACCATGTACACTCACACGCGCCTGACTTTTTCCCAAGGCAAAGAGGTCACAGGGCCGGTCATGGTGAGTGACGATCACAGTCACAGTTTGAAGAGTAAAGATACATACTGAATTATTCTTCTTTCTTATAATCACTTCTCTTCTTTATCCCCAGAATGGTTTGAATGGTGTAAGGACCTGTGCTTCATTAGACAGTAGGTTATTTGTGACTAACTTGAATTTTTCCATTCCATGAGGTCTATTAATTTCTCTATTGTGACGCTTTTCTGCAGTGATTGTGTTTAAAGACTTCTCCCTTCTTCTTAGCTTCTTTAGTGTCATCTTCATCAAAACCTGAGGCACCGTCGCTAAACATCAGCACCAATTGCATTCCTACACCCTCTGCCCACGTTCCCCCCACCCTTCCTGCACACAGTTCCACCTCTCTGTCTAGTCTGGTACAAGACCTCCCCTCAGCCAGTCAGCTTATTTCACTAAACAGGTGAGAGAAAAAAGTCACGTACAGTATGAAAATGGTTTCTTGTGTGTACATTGTAAATGAACACCTGTTGACTGTTATGTCTCTTTTTTTTTACTCCATAGTCATGTCAGCAGTCTCTCCTCAGTTTCAGCTCTGTGCTCCAGCTCTGCTTCTGTAAGTACCCAGGGTTCATACAGGTGCTTTAAACTTGTACACCACATCTGTCAAACTCACTCCAGCCTGTCACCTCATTTTACCAGAGCTTAACACACATGTAGTTGTTCTAAATGAACCTCCATTTTAGAGTCTATGCTGATGTTGTGGATTGATTAAATGTAGTCTGTTCACATTCAGTGTTCCTGGTGAGAGTATTCTCAGATAATGTTTTAAACAGTTTGTGCATTGAGTTTTAAAATGTGACATGAATTCTTACAAATCTTTGTAGAGGAGCTCTAAGTTAAATGTACTTGACTTTAACATGAGGAAACCCCTAACTCTTTCTATCAATGTCCCTCAGCACACCAGTGGAGATGCAATTTCCCTAGTGCCCTCCTGTGGCTCATACACATCCTCGCAGCCCTCGGCTTCAGCGCTCCACCTGGCTCACAACAGCAGCAACAGTAGCAGCAGCAACAGCGGCATCAGCCACATGAGCAACATGCCCAACATGTCCAACATGGGCAGCAATATGAGCAGTGCAGTGGGTGGAATGACTGGACCTCACTCTGTTACCACCACTGCCAGCAGCACAGTGATGGGCCTTGGCTCCAATGGAGCTCTGGTCACGTCCAATCTCTCTGCACAGAGGGCCACAGCTCTGCTCTCCTCCTCCACTGGTACATGAAAACACACCAGATAATGTTCAGTTGTATGTGTGACACTAATGACCATAATGTCAGCAGTCTGTTGAATCTCTGGAAATAAACATGTTTAATCTATTTAGGCAAGATTTTAAAAAATATATATATTGATGATGTGTTACATTTTTAAAAAAAAAAAAAAATATTGATGATGTGTTACATTTTAAAAAAAGTAAATCTTTGTTCTGGTGAGTGAGGTATCAGAGGTAGGAGTAAGAAATCAGAAGAACGGACAACGCCAAAGTGTAAATAGATTTAAAACATGCTTATTTACATTAATGCCTGTTTGCTTTCTAAAACATAATTTAATGTTTAAGGATTTTGTTTGGTTCCATGTTCCAATTAGTTCTCAGTATTTACTCCACAGAAATAAATCTGCTTGTTAACCATGGCTGTTAAATAACCTGCAAGCACGAGAAGTGTTTCTTCTTCTAAAAGAACTAATTTGTGCTCTTATTAGGTAAAGCCCCCCCTAACCTGTCCCAGGGAGTCCCCCCATTAGTGCCCAACCAGTACATCATGGGCCCAGGTGGGCTTCTGCCAGCATACCCAGTAGGTACATTTAGGATCTAGTCATCATTGCCATTGGTTTTATTTTTCTCAGCTATTTTCAGGGATCTAGTCATCATTGCCATTGGTTTTTTTTTCTCAGCTATTTTCACTCTTTTGTATCCCACAGCATATTTATGGCTATGAGGATCTTCATGTGCTGCAGTCCAGACTTCCAATGGTGAGTCACTACATCACACTTACTGTGTAGTAGATGTTTTAACCTGAATGTACTTTAAATCTTTGTAGCTGAGGTTATCATAGGAATGGTAGTGTGATGTTATGAGGCGTGGACCAATAAGAGCCCTCATCAGTCAGACAGGACAGGGAACCACCTGTCTGTTTTAAAATAAGGTCACTGGTTTGCAAGTTCAAACTCTGGTTGATCTGTATGGAGTGAGAGAACCAGTACTCGGCTTCTTCCCACAGCCCAAAAATATGCTCACCAGGGGTGTAGGTTGATTGGACACTGTAAGTTGACTAAAGGTATGAATGTACAGGGTTAAACCATAAATAATGGATGAATGGGAGTTACAGTAGACTAATTCCTCCATTTATTTTTACAATCAATGTTCCAAAAACACATTTATTTTGGTAAGGAAATATAAAAAAATTAGCTAAATTGAAGATAGAATAACAAAGCCCATGGACAATAATCTTATTCCTGTGAATTTCTATTCTGTTTCCTGTTTCTATGATGACAAGAAATGTATCTATGTGTAAATGGATGTTCTAAAAATAAAACGAAAAATCCTCATGTTTGGCCAAGAAATAGCTACAAACCTCGTATGCCCAAGTAGCCAAGGGATTCATACTTTAGAAACTATTTGAAATATCTTAAGGTAGCCACAAATATATATAAAAAAATCCAAACGCATAGCATGAGGTGAAAATAATACAATGGCCTTCATGTTGTATAAAATCACAGCTGAAAAATGTGCTCATGTTCAGGGAGAATGTTAAAACCTTGGTCTCCTGTTCTGATGCCAAAATTAGCGGCCGGAGTTTATAACACATAATATTGTATCATATCATGTAATCATCACTGTTAGAGCAATATATTAAAATAAAAAATGACTAAGTTATACTGTATTATTATACACTGAAAATGTAATACTGTTTAGTAGATCAAAACTAAACCAGTTGACCTACTATGATCACTCTCACAAGTTTATTTTATTCAGTGACAAAAATATAATTTATTGTTTCCTCAGTCTTTGTTAACAGTTCCTTTCCTCATCCTGTCTGTATTTTCTTTCTAGCCCTCTTTGCAGGATTATTATGGAATCACATTCCCTGGCCCCACAGTGACTCTGTCTGGAAGAGATGGGAACCTTGCCAACAATCCCTACTCAGGTCAGCAGCCCGGCTTCATCCTGTCTTCTCAGTCTTCCAGAGACCCAGAGTTTGGAGTATGTTTATATCCCGTCTCTCATTCTCTTACAGGTGAAGTCACAAAGTTTGGCAGAAACGACTCCACCTCTCCAGCTCCGCCAACCAGCCTAGCTGGCCCTCAGCCTTCTCAGGCACCGAGCCAAGGTCAGAACCAGAACCAGCCTCAAGCCCAGCCTCAACCACCGGGTCAGCCGCAGCATCACAACAGCCAGCAGGCTTTTCTGCCTGCTGGCTACAGCTACACAGGCCTGCCATATTACCCTGGAGTGGCAGGCGCTGTGCCCAGTGCTGCTGCCTTCCAGTACGGTCCAACGATGTTTGTTCCTCCTGGAGGCCCAGGCCCGGCTTCAGCCAAGCAGCACAGCATGAGTCTGGGTCTGGGGAACCCTTCAGCAGGTCCTTTTCAGCAGCAAACCCAGCAGCAGCCAAGTAGTTACAGCCAGCACACCTTCAGCTCAGGTTGATGTCTTTAACTTTACTCAACACAGAACCAAGACATTTTAGGAACAACCTAAAACTTCAGTACCTGCAATGATTTGTGTGTTTGCAGGGTATGAGGATCTGACAGCGGGACCGGCTGGAGTGGACTACAGTAAAGGATACAACTCATCTTTACAGGCACAAGCCAAACCTACTGCTGCTGGGCCAGGGAAAGGTGAGAGGAAAAAAAGCATCATTCTTCTTTCATCTTAATTTATCCTGTCCCGGTGAAGCATGGTACACATGGTAACGCATGTACACATGGTAATGTCCACAAGCACAGCCAACTACGTGACCATGACGTAACTAGGCCTGCATACAGTGTCAGCATAGCTTTAAGACTTGACCTGTCAAAAAAAAAAAACATGACCGTGATTATTTCGTTTTATATCAGGATCATTTGCTCTTATAGCTGTTGTTTGTTTCTGTTGTCGCTGCTCTGATAGGAGTTTCAGTGACCTCCAGTAACTCAGGAGTGCCTGACATCAGTGGAAGTGTTTACAACAAGACGCAGGTAACGTTCAGACTGGAATTCACACAAATTAAAAATTTAAACGCTATTTTGGATTTTGACTTTTCTTCTCCCGTCTGTCTTCAGTCTTTTGATAAGCAGGGTTTCCATGCAGGAACTCCTCCACCCTTCAGCCTGCCTACAGCCCTGGGTGGCCCCGGCCCTCTGAACCCAGGAGCTGCTCCTGGAGGATTTGCCACGGCTCCGTTCCTCCACATCCTGCCTCACCAGCAACCTCACTCACAACTGCTGCACCATCATCTCGCTCATGATGGCCAGGTAACGTAGAGGCATGCACATAACAACATCAGCTGCTCTAGCTGTGACATTCAGTTTGTACAAATTAACTAATAAAATAAATATAGCTAAAGGCTCCCCTAAAAGGGTTTAAACTTAGCTTAAGTCACAGATTAAGCTATAAGTGAGTCAGAAAAAGCTCAGTGGTTGCAACCTTTTTTGGCTCGTCACTTTGACGTCACAAATATCTGGTGACCGCAGCATTAGAAAGTGCTGTTTGAAGCTTCTTCACTGCTAAACTTATTTTGCTGAACTTCAGATTTCTTCATCAACTCTGTGTCTGTTGCTCCTGCTCCATTCAGGGTGTTCAGAGCCAGCGTGGTCAGTCGGGCAGCCTTCAGCAGAAGACCCAAGTGAACAAGTCCACTTATGGCAGTTCGCCCTACTGGGCCAGTTAAGCTGTGACCTTCGTTTATGTGCGCTTGCATGAACACACAAACACACACACACACACGTGTGTGTGTGTGTTTGTGTGTGTATCCGTTGGACGACGGAGAGGCAACAAAGGTTTTACAACACAAGCTAAAACACACACTACCACCCTACCCCTCCACTCCCCTCTCCTCTGTATATTCCACTTTTCAAATTTATGGCTGTTGTATGTAAAGTGTATTTATGTATGTATTTATACAGTATATATGTATTGGTAGTACATAAAATGTGGTTTTTCTGACATTTTGTTTTATTTTGAAGGACATTTTCTTTCAAATAAGGGGAATGCTTAGATGAAGTTGATAAATATACTTGAACATAAGCATCATGTGATGTGGATTTGTTTTTTGTATGCATACAATTACTGAGAATGGTGTACGTAGATTTGACACATCATTTTCACGTGGAAAAGGCCTTTTTTATTTTAGAAGAATAACGTTTTTGTAAGTTTTGGTCTCCTAAAAGTCCTTGGATTTGATGTCATTTTAACATTGTTTAATCCTTGTTGTCCAAATTAAAACTTCTGAACTGTTTGTGTGCTTCCTGTGATATGTTCACCACTGGAGAGATGGAGCTGAACCCAGCAGTCAGCTGATGAGGACAGAGGAGACATGTATGTCAGTTTAGAGTGAACTATTCACTCATACTGAAAAGAAAAACAGTCTACAAAAGCACAAACCACTGTTCCACCTTGTGGCCCCACAAAGGAATTGAAGGAACCTATACATATTGAAGTGGTATGTGTACACCCTTTGTGTAACCTCCTCTGTTCAGCCATCTAAAAATGAGGCCAGTTTTACAATGTCTAATCAGGTACAGTACATTTATTTGTAAACCCCATGATCACAAAACTTATTCATCCTCAATGGACATGATTTGTTGATTTTTATTTTTTTTTCTAGATGGAGAACAGGAACTTCCAACTGACAAGACATCATTTCCTGAAAATCTTTACAGATTTATTGGTGGGAATAGTCGTAATGTAGACAAACTACATAGCCGTCTTTTGGAGCTGCTGGCTCTTCATGTTGATCTTCTGCCCCAGTGAACCAGGTACTGTCCATCTGTCCTAGACTTAAAAATATAAACAAATTCTAAAACCTTCACTGTATGCAAATGTATTGAGTACTTACTCAGTTACTTTTTAAAAGTAAGGTGAAACTTGAAACAAACAAGTATTTTCCTTTTTTTAATCACAAAGTTATTGTCCTTACTGCTGATAGTCTCTATAAAAAACCTAAAATATTCCTTTAGTGAAACCCAGTCTTACAGGGATCTACTCCGGGAGCGACAGCTGTTCTTGCAGTGACAGAGGCCTCTGTTGGCTGAAGCAGCTATGGAGGCCTGGTCCACTTTGTAGGAGATGGAATTGTAGAAGATGAGGTTGCTGTGACCAGGATCCTGGTCACTGCCTGATAGAGAACTGCTGTCATCACAGCCCAGACCACAGCAGAAGCAGAACAACAGAGGTGTGAGTTTGTTCCTATCAGGAAGTGTTAAGTCTCCATGTGAGGATGGGAAATGTCTGGGACCTCCTTCAGAAGGAGGTAGAAGGTTAATGCAGCTGGTGCCCGTCTCCATAGGCAGACTAAGGTTGTGGTGAATGCTGTTTCCATCATCTCTGTGTGTATTTGCTGCTGCAGCAGTTTCTCCTTCACCGTCCAAGACGTCCCTGTCCTCCTGGGGATCTTTAGGCTTAGGTACCTGCTCCTCTCCGTCAGCCACCTCCCTTTTCCCAAGCCTGTCTGAGCTGACAGCGAGGAACCTCAGGACCACCAGGTTGATAAAAGCTCCCATGATTGTCAGTCCCACCAGTATGTACATGAGGGTAAAGGCCACGTACGTTGGCTGCCTCTGGAGAGCATCTGTCTTCTGCAGGGCTACAAAATCTCCAAAGCCAATGGTGGTGAGTGTGGTGAAACAATAGTAGTATGCGTTGAAGAAGGACCAGTCTTCAAAATGTGAAAAGGCTGCGGCTCCAACACAAAGAGCGCTCGCACACGACAACAGTCCGACCACTACCATGTTCCCCATGGACACCTCTACCTTCTGTAGACCCAGACTCTGCTTAGTTCTCCTCAGCAGGCACCGTACTAAAGTATTGATCCTCTCTCCAAGGCTCTGGAACATGACCAGTGTCAGGGGGATGCCTAGGGTTGCGTAGAACACACAGAAGGCCTTACCAGCATTGGTCCGAGGAGCAGCATGGCCATAACCTACAAAGGTCACAGAGGTTTTAGGTCATGCACATAGCCGAGGGTCAACTGCTCCCTTTTTGCTATAAGAATATACAAAAATAAATTGTAATGTTGCACAAGAAAAAAAACACTATACCTTTAGCTTTGGAGACAAGTGATTGTCCATTGGATGTAGGAAACACTACAGTACAGACCAATCTGGGATCAAAGCTACACCAGCTGGAGTCATTAAAAATGGGCTTTAACATTTCTCCATGTTTGTACAAGTCAGATTTAAAAACACCTATATTCTCAATTTATTTTAAACCATTATTTACATTCTCCTTTTAGACACGTTGTTTTGTGTTTGTGACAAAAGCACTTTAAGTTCCATTATAAACAGCAACTTTGTCTGTTTACTCCTGAAAAACGAGAAACGAAAAAAGAGAGAATACAGACAGAGGGCAACATCACTGATGATGCTCTCATCCTTAAAAATGTATAACTATTATAAAAATATAAAAATAATAAAAATATATTATAAATAAATATCTTTAGCAGACTTCCGGAACAGTACACACACTCACACACAGACAACTCTTACCTATAGTGGTGATTACAGTGATGACAAAGTAAAAGGCTCCACTAAACTTCCACTGGCTGCCTCCCCTGTGTGGCTCTGACAACAGAACCACTCTCTCCAGCTCTCTGAAGTCCTCCTCGGTTAAACCATACTTTGTGATTAGCTCGTCCAGCTTCTGCTCCAAGACTTTCCCCCTTAGGGTCTCACTCTGAGCCTCCAAGGCTTGGAAAACTGTGGCTCCCACAAGAAGATAGAGAATGATGGAGATAATGAGGCACAGGGTCCTGATGTTTTGCGTCTTCATCCTCAGCTCCAGTGCAAATCCACAAGACACACAGGAGAATCATTCTTGTGCGTGTGTGCGTGTGGTGTGTGTGTATGTTTCCCCATTCACTGTGTGCAGCTCTAGGATTACTGTACTAATGTAGGTTGCGTGTTGAAACTGTAGCCTAATGTGTGATGTATGTGTGCAGGTTATCTGAGCTCAGCGGCTGGCAGCACTGAGACTTTCCACACCAGGTTATTGTAGCCCTGCTGACCCCTGACCACATGACTGTCATCTACAAACGCAAGTTCAAGTCTACTCCCGACAACGGTAAAAGAACAGTGTGATGTCTGCAGATGAAAGGTTAAGTATGTAAATATAAATACATAAACACATACATGCATATGATATACATTCATTACAGTATATTATGCTGTTTTTATCCATAATAAAACCTCCTTTAATTCACCTTTTAACAGATCTGCTAAATGTGGCATCAATTGCACTTTAACTGTTTCACCTGGGTGTGTAAATAAAGTCATAAAGTCTTTATTTATTTAACTTTCTATAAATCTTTCTATAACTGACATTAGTTAATCTGTAAACCCTCTTGAAATTAAATGTTCTACAAATTCAAAAACAACAACCTGGAAGTAACATGTTTAAGTCAAGATTTAACAAAAGTTAACTACTAATTTTTTTTTTACAAATATATTAAAGCACATGTTTTAAATGTAACCATTTTGACTGTGTTTTGATGTTACATAGTTGGACACATTTGCTATATTTATGTCTGTCTTTAATATATTTCCCTTACTTTCAATTATTATAAACTTCTTCTGTCATAAATACATCAATGAATACATAAATTAATACATTACATAAAGGTATCTATGAAAGGTGGCACTGAAATATATACAGTATATATATATGGTATATAATATGTGTGTGTATATGTACCTTCAGTTATTGCTCAGATTGTTCACTCAACATTAACTTAAACAAGTAAACAGTGTCTTCTTATTCAAGCTCCGCCCCGTCTATCCCACAGTAAAGTACTTCTTGTTTTCCCTTTTTTTCCATTAACAGAGCCATAAAGACACACATGCCTGTCATTAACATATACATTTATGGCCTCCTCCTCCTCCCCCTCCTCCTCCTCCTCCTGAATCCATACGATAAACTGAGCCGTTACAGAAACAGCACAGTGATATTGAGATGTTTTGTCGCTTAGACAGCCATAAAAAAGTCAAACTGACGGCTTTTACAGAGGTTTTCTGATGCTCATCAATTCTCTATCCACGCTGTAATGTGTTTTATCAGATGGACTTGTCTGCATGGTGGGTTTTACATGTATTTTATCGTTGACAGGAAGACATTACAGAAAGAAAATCTATTAAGTGAAGTTGTATAGAGTCATCTGCAGTGTTGGCCATGTTACCTTTAAAAGGTAATTAGTTATAGTTACTAGTTACCTCTCCCAAAAAGGAACCGAGTAAGTAAGTGAATTACTACCCTTTAAATTAACTAATTACTTAAGAAAGTAACTGTTGCCTTATGTTTTATTTATTTAAATATGTCTAAAATTAGATTTTAGTATTTAGTATTTTCTTTATAACAAAAATACAATTTAACAATATGAACTATTTGTATATGCCTTAAAATACGTAGCTTTGTCTTTTAATGGTTAAAATTCAGAAAAAATATATAATTTTCAATGTCAACTATTGATCAAAAGCAACATACTATACTAATAAGATTCTTATTAGTAAGTCTTCAAAACTAAAAGGTTCTCAAAAATAAATAATAATAAATAAAAATAATAGCAATGACCTTTGGTTAAAATGGTTAAAATGGTTAAAATTCAGAAAAAAATAACTTTTTGGTACGTCAAAACAATGCCCAATAATAACTGAGTGTCCTTCTGACCAGTGACTCTATCTTTAAGAACTTTCTGCATGTGCTTGACACTACCAGAAGAGGGCGTTCGTGTCCGTCACCGTTACAACACTTTCATCACCGTTTTACTGTATTTTGTAGTTGTATATATTAAGATTACTGTTGTTTTGTTTCAGGTTCTACTTTATTGCGCTTATTTTGGGAGAGTTTTGATTTAAATTTCTTTTTTATTAGGCATAAAGCAGTCGGTTTCAAGAAGGTTACACAAGTTGCAATTTTTTTTAATTTTTTTGTTGCTTGCAGGGTAAATTTTAACATCAGACACACATGTTTCTTATGACAAAACATTCTTCATATCTATATATTTACAATTTTTAGGTAATGACTGGCAGGGAAAGGCAGCTGTCAGGCCGGCCCAACTTTGGAGACCTCAGTCACTGATGATGTAGTAGATGATTCCTCCTCACCTCCTCCCATCCCCAGCATTGACATCATGCAGGAACGAAACTGGTAGGGAATTGAAATGATTTGATATTGATATTGTAGGGTTTTCTATAAAGTTCAGAGACACTTTGTTCGTGAACTGTGTTTGATTTGGCAGGGGAGCAAACAAGGATTACAGCTTAATGATTGAGTCACAAATAATTAACTCTAATTATGGGCTTTAGAAATAACTTCAGGAAAAGTCAGAAGCCACATCAAATTGGCAGTTTTTACTGATATACACTTCTGTCCTGCCATATGAACTGTTTTTCTATAATGGGTCAGAAAGTTTAAAACCAACTACAAAAATCTAAATTAATTTTTACAGCAAATTGCACAAAGTAGTTATACCACTATAAATATAAATGAATACCAATAACGCAAATACAGTAAATACATTTTAAATTGATGTAAAAAAACAGGACATTTTTTCAACCCACCTGTTTATTAAGAAGAATATAAATAACAGGGTTGTAGACGGTTGAGGCTTTGGAAAAGCAGGAGGGTATGGTGGCCAGCCTCAGGTCGAACTGCTGCCCTCGGTTGTTGACCACCCAAACGGCAAAGGATGCATAAGGCAGCCAACAGACCAGGAAGCCCAGCACCATGACTACAACCATTCTGGTCACCTCCTTCTCAGCCTTCTGTGTGGAGGCAGACTCAGCCTGGGCCTTAGCTGCCTGGTGATGGAGAAACAGGTTGAAGATCCCAGTGGTACTGTGATAATTAGGTTAAGAAATAAAAACTAGCCAACAGACAGACATAATATTTTAGAATAAAGCATTGTGAATAATCAAAAATGCCTGCAGACGTGTCACTACAGTTTAGTTGGCATTCAGAGCACACGTCTTTGTCATTCCTACTGTTTCAGAAAACGTCCCTCTGCAGTCCTGTTGAGGAAACTCATACCTCACTTAAATAATAGGTTTAAAATTCAGCTTCTTTTAATAACCTGCATTTATTTTGTAGTTGTGATGAACTTTTGAAAATATCATCCCTAAAATTTAAAAGAGCCGGTGACATTAATAGCAAAATAATTTAAAGAACAACGTATTGTATTTTGAGCAGTTTTTCTTACCAGTTTCAGTGTTATCAGCAGCTGTGAATAGCAAAAGACAATGGTGGCAAATGGAACGGCAAAGCAGAAACCAAACAGGAACATGACATAAGACTCGTTGTTGTATTTGTTGTTTGTGGTGTACCAGTCTGGTCCACAAGAACACTGCAAGCCCTCTGGGATATACCTGTACACATTTTTACAAGAATCATAATCAAACATCTTAGCAACCACATTCTGGTAATGAATGAACTGTAGTATTTTCTATTTTGTTTAGTATTCTGATTAGTATCAATCTTACCTGCTCCATCCAAACAGTGGAGGAAGTGAGGCGAAAAGTGCAAACACCCAGGTGAAAAAACAACAAGCTATGGCGTGGTCTGGCTTGAAAACAAAATTACCCAGTGGTTTACAGATGACCAGCCATCTTTCAAATGCTATCACAGCCAGAGACCACAGACTCACCATACCTGGAATGACACAAATACACTGAAGTCCCCATTTCAATTATAATATTCAGTGTATGCAGTATTATTGTAAACTCACCTCCAAGTGTGGCTGCAAAACCCTCAATCTTACATGCCAGTGGTCCAAGGAGAAAATATCTGGCTGCAAAGGAGATGCAGGCAGTGAAGGAGCCCACGCAAGACACAATAAGATTGGCCACAGCCAAATTTACCAGGATGTAGTTGAGATGGGAACGCAACTTCTTGTATTTAGCAGTGCATGCGATGGTGAGGGTGTTAATGAAAGTACCGACCACAAATAAGAAAAACATAAACACTGCCAATGGGTAGAAGACGCCAGGACCTCCCAGATGGTCCTGAGGAACCAGGAAAGGGCTGAGTGATGTGATGTTATTAGTGTCCAAAGTGATGGGTATCCAAAAATGCTCTGGCAACTCCTCACCCCGATTCAGCCTCATGATCTCTGATTGGTTTTTTTTATTACAGTTTAGAAAAAATTAGAAAGTACAGCGTGAAAGACTGCTGTGTTGGCTTCTCAAACAAGGTCAACCTTCTGAAGCAGCGCTTTATAAAGGTCAACCCTCATCCACATTAAGAAGTTAATTGACATGTGAATGGATTAGGCGGGTTATTGGGATTTACATTCCACGTTGTCTCCTTTTGAGAAGGGTTTAAAGCCAATAACACTGGGCACGCAGTTTGTCCAAAAGGTCAACAATGTAAATGACTGCGACTTTGCAGTATATTCAAATAGTAGTAATTTGCATTCATATATCGCTGAGAGAAAAACGTATTAATTACATATACATTTACTTTCCAGATGGTGTACACTGTTCTTAATATGCAAATACTCAAGAGACAGGATAACTCCACTCTCTTAAAGAAGATCACAGCAGTACTTTGTTGGATAATCTGTCTTCTGTCAACCTTTAGTCTGGTAATCCCAGCACTGTAGCCCTCTACTCTTGTCTAATCTAAAGCTGGTTTTACCTGTTTTGTATGTGAAGCAATCACTTTGAATTTCAACTAAGTAAAAATTGGGATCTATCTATCTAAGCAAATTCATATGTAAAGATTCAATTTACCCTGTGGTTAATAATAGACAGCCTTAGATTTCAATCAAGTATTATATTTTGACCAAATTGACTGATTGAAAATGTCTCAAATTTTTATCTGTGTATTTCAATATATATATTCTTAAGACACAGAGCTATAGAACACAACTAAAAGAGGTAAATTTGAATTATAGCTTTACCAGGATTCAAATCAATTGTATTAGACCAGAACAAGTCAGTAGATGAACTAGTTTTGTTGGTGCAAAGTAGGACCTTAGTGTTAAATCGGCTAATCCAGTCATTACAGCTGCTAATCATGTCCAGTCTGTCTTTGGAAAACCCTGCTTTCAGTTAGCTTTAGACTGGATGATCTCCTCCTGCATTATTGAATAAGGATCAAGAAGGATTAACCACTCTGGGACAGGACAATTCAGGTAGAATCCAAAGTAGTATAGTGTATCTATGTGAGTCCCACAATGGTTTACTACATTCACAGAAAACTTTTCAGGGCAAATTGTGTGGAATATATATATGGATGCCAATGGCTGTTACGTCAGAAAGAACCACTTGAGGCATTCCCTTTTAAATGTACAGCCAGAAATAACAAAATAACAATGTATCCTGTTAAAGTATATGAAAGTCCCTTATAATTTGTGTGTGAATATATATAGCCCCACTCAATCTAAGGGTTATATATATAGTATATATGTAATTGATAATAATTAAAGCATTTAAAGACATTTCTCAGGAGTTTCAAGAGAAATTGAAAAATGTTACTAATTTATAGAATGCACAAAAAACATCAAATTATAATTGAACTTGAATGGACACTATTAAGGCTTTGTGAGACTTTAGTTTAGCAAAGCTTGCATTAGGTAAAGAAGTAGGTTGAAATGAGTTGGGCAAAACAGATCCAAGAAGTATTTGATGCAAACATTAATGCTAGGTAGAGAACTTTGTTTATGATGAAGTCCTTTTAATTCATGACAGATAGAATACATATATCACACTTGACATAGTGAAATAAGTATAATATTAATATACTGATAGTTTCATAAATACCATAAGAATTGTATAAATTGGTTGTTCTTAAGGAAAACAACAATTAAGAAATCACTGCAACAGGAAATACAGTCTGGCATTGTATGCAGTGAAATTAAGAATAATATTAAGAATTTCTTTATTCGTCCCAGAACGGGAAAAATCGGGTGACATGACATGTGACAATGAAAAATCTTAAAAGTTGCGCATTTTCCCTGCTTTAATGTACATGTGCGCCAAATGTACATTCACTGAACATACTCGGCATTAACCGCTATTTTAAAATAACAGCCGCGATGACGCCATCTTTAGTAAGGGACAATAAGCCCTGAACTCTACCACAACTTAATATAATTAGCTAGAACTTGTGAAAATCAACTGTTTATATGAAAAGTAGGTCGGTGAACCGTGTCGGTAGGTAACGCTTATTGAGTAGACTCGATGTGTCAAATAACAAAAACTTATAAATGCATTTCGATGTAAAACGGTCAGAAAGCGGATGTCCGTCGCCATCTTTACTTTGGGTGACGCAGACTCTCTTCCATTTTCCTCCGCCTCTGGTTGTCAAGAAGATGGCAGCTTCCAGGCAGGCATGAGAGGAAATACTTCTTTACAAATCGAATGAATTTGGATTATTACCCCCAGTTAAGCCCACAAAACCGGATTTTTGCAAGTACTGCGTCGAAATAGGTAAGTTTAAAAATAAAGCGCCTGTGCCATTTCTGTGAGTTATGTTTTGTTGTGGGTGAGCGCACCGGCCATTTTTCTTGTGGGATCCGCAGAAATAGGCCGATCGTCGAAAAAAATGGCTGCTTCCACAGACGGCATGAAACACAATAACACTGCGTTTACGTGCTTTCACTCACTTTATGTGCTTTTTTACAACACTCTTGCAAGCTCACCACCAACTGATACATGATGCATGCGGAGAAACCCGTAAATAACATTGCACTTTATAGAAACACAGAGCGCTTTGACAGATAGTAGCCGCAATGCTAACGCTAGGAAAAGCGGCTACTGCCCAGAGCAAACTGAGTAGAGCTAACAGACCGGACCATTTTTACAGCTTTTTTTACTCAGACAATCTAATACAATATTAACTTCTTATCAGATTTTGTTGTGCAGATGACATTTGTAACAAATAGGTTTAGGCTTAAGCTCTTAATTATATAATAATAACGAAATACTTAACGCCGAGAATGCTAAGCTTATATGGTACAATATGGCGACTCCCACAGAGGCATGAAAAGAGCCGACTCTTGCTAAAGGGTTTATCTGAGGATTAAGAGTGTGTTATCGGGGGCTTTTACGGCACCATTTGTCCAATATAATTTTATATGCCTCAGGTGAATAATTCGTGTGTTTTAGTCCCTATTTGATTGATTACTTTGATACATTTTCTTTTGAATTTCGCTTCCGCCATTTTTCTGGATAGACAACCGTGATAACGGGGTTTGTTTGCCTACAAGATGGCTGCTTCCATGGACTCGATTCAATGGTAACAACAAACTGGGTCAAACCCTGATATTAGTATATACTTTGTGTGGCCTTGAACGATGGCAAACTGCATTCTATACGAAGAGCGGGTAAAAGTTGCCCTTTTGACGGTTGTTTTATATAGTAAACTATTTCCAGAAAGCTACCCGCTAAGCCTTTAGCGGCTGTGTCCACACAAACATTTTAAAAAGTTGCTTATAGTAAGTATAAAAATGTTGCTGATGCTCAGTTGTAGTTGTTTATTTCTCATATTAGGTTAAGGTTAACATTGTCGACCATTCTTATTAACAGAAATCATGTCTGCCCCTGGATCCGTGGTGTCTGGGACCACGGTGTCGGTTCTACAGCCGCGTTGGAAACGGGTCCTCGGGTGGTCCGGTCCCGTTCCCCGGCCCAGACATGGGCACAGGGCTGTGGCTATAAAAGAGCTCATGGTTGTCTTCGGCGGTGGGAACGAAGGGATAGTGGATGAATTACATGTATACAACACCGGTAAGTACTTGCTTCATAAATTGAACGTTTGTTATAAACTCAAAGTTTTTATCTATGTATGAACGAGGAAGTGTTGTACTAATATCATGTTCTTAACCCGCTAAGAGTAAACCACAAATTATGAAATTTCAATGGCGATATTTGTCTGCACATGTAACTACAGAAAGGCCTTACCAGGCCAACCGTAGCCGGTCTGACTAAATTTGGCTCTCCCTGCTGGACAAACATTGTAAATGCTTATCAAAAAAGGCGGGTTAAAATGTAAATAAGGGAATCTGGTTGGTTTAATTTCCTCTGTCTACACTTGCTTCACAATAACGAGAAAAGTCAAGTTTAGAAAATCTGGTTACAGTATTATCTTAATTGAAAACGTTTTTGTCTATTTAGATATTCAAACAACTTTTAGGGTATTAACTTTATAGTCCATACAATTAAATTAACTGATAACATCTATAACTTATGTTATGTTTGAAAATATACCTTGTTTAAGATAGAAATAATGTTATCAGCTACAATCCTGTAGCATTCACTACCAATTTGATTTCATCCATCATATCCAGCTGTTTTGATCGTAGATGCCACAGCACACTGTCGGTTGACATTAAAAATCAAATGTGACATTTTTCTGTAGAATATTTTTCTTAAGCCCTATGTCTTTGGGACAATACTAATGCCTTTTGTGATTTAAGAATTTATGGCAAAAGTGTATCTGTACTCCTAATTGTAAACCATGTTTTATGTCTCCCTTTTTCAAATGTATATAGCAACCAACCAGTGGTTCATCCCAGCAGTCCGTGGCGACATCCCACCTGGTTGTGCAGCATATGGTTTTGTCTGTGATGGAACAAGATTGCTGGTGTTTGGTGGAATGGTGGAGTATGGAAAGTACAGCAATGATCTCTATGAACTTCAAGTAAGGTTTCATCCATATTTGAATTACAATTTAAGATTATATATATATATATATATATATATTCCAAAATATCAAGAAAGAATTAACATTTAAAATTTGAATTAAGGCCCATGCTCTCAATACAATATAGTAATGTCTTCTAAGTAATTACTGTTGGGATGTTAAAGCCCAGATGCAGAATTTTTGTCGCTTCATCAAGGATATAAGCAATTATAAGATGTCCAAAATACTCATTTGGCTACTTATATTTCTCATGCTGGTATTTGTCCCTTTTATTATTTAATTGTAATCTAACAATATTTCTTTTAAAGAGCACTGCCCTTATAGAAGCATCAAGAATTGAAATGAAGATTATCCATTACCAAATGATCCAAATGACAAAAATGTCTGTCTGTTTCAAAATGTGTTTTGCAGTTTAGAAAGTATATATGGACGGTTTCTGAGTCTTAAATTGTCATTTATAATTCCTAGCTATTGGTGATCATTTTTGTTGTCATTCAGACAAAATACACCTCGGGTCAATTACTTGTAAAACTGTGCTGTGGATACAAAAAAGAAAGGTTCTAATTTGTCATTTATTGGAGTTAACTAATTTTTGTTATTATTTTAACACAGGCCAGTAGATGGGAGTGGAAAAAATTGAAAGCAAAAAATCCCAAGAATGGGCCTCCTCCTTGTCCTCGTCTTGGCCATAGTTTTTCCCTTGTTGGTAACAAATGCTACCTTTTTGGAGGATTGGCTAATGACAGTGAAGACCCCAAAAACAACATTCCCAGGTATGGCAGGTCTTTTGGCAGACACTTGATCGTAGATAAATTGGTCTCATCTGACGAGCACCAGCTGAGTTCTTTCATGTGTTTTTTATTCTCAGATATCTAAATGATCTGTACACCCTGGAGCTTCGGGCTGGATCCAGTGTTGTCGGATGGGATATTCCAATCACCTACGGAGTCCTGCCCCCTCCACGTGAGAGCCACACGGCTGTGGTCTACACTGAAAAGACGACCAGGAAATCTCGGCTGATTATATATGGAGGGATGAGTGGCTGTCGTCTGGGAGATCTTTGGACACTTGATATTGGTAAGTTTTTAAGGTGTGACTTTGAAAACAACAGCCCGTTTCCTGAGGGCTGTGAGAGATGACAATGACTTAAAAATTCAGTCGTAATAATGATGATTTTAATTAATGCATGACATATAATAGATATAGTCTTATTAATAATAGAATACTCCAGACAAATTAGGCCAAATACAATGATCCTTTATTTGTAAGAATTATTAAAAATTCCATTACCAAAAGAAATAAATGGTCTCATAAACTGAAATTGTTATCTAAAATACAAGATACAAAAAAAAAAAAGAACATTTCTTTACAGAAACAATGCACAACACTATTTATGTCCTGTTATTAAAAGTAGAATGGGTCTGGTCTAATTTACCTTGCTCAATATCAATATATTAAACAACAAAAGAATGTTACAAATGGAAACAGGAAAGAGTTCCTCTCTTTACAGAAACACTGTAAAACACTGTTTGTGGAAGAAGTTCTTTCCCTGTTCTGTTTGAACACCTTAATGCTAGTTAGGTGATGTAGGGACCTGACTTGATTTAAAAAGTGGGTCACAACCAACGTTTTTAGATGCATACCACCACCTACGGTACTAGAATGTGTAGTTTCATGGTATCATCGCTGACTTTTTGAGAGAATGCAGCCCACTCCATACTCCTTGATGCTCGATTCATTTTGTATTTCACCCGATGTGAATTGTCACGCATTTGTATCGATTCTTATCTCTGTATAATGAAATTAAATGAAAACCATAGACAACCTCAAAAAGAACGATAACTCTTTGCTATTTTACACTAATTCAGAGCTTTTTGTAGTCTTCAAGAGTTTTTAAAAATGTATACAATGGTCTTTATTAAATAGAAAACATGTAATTATTGGTTATTGCATTGGCATCGCCCTTGACGACCAGATAATTATTGGTTTAAAAATCCATATCGTGCATCTCGTATAAAGCCAGAGGTGAAGTATTATCTATTACTTATGCCACATTTAGGAAGATGTCTAAATTAACACATTTCTTTTGTGCTTGGCACTTTATGCAGATACCCTCACATGGAACAAACCATCAGTGAGTGGCACAGCTCCACTTCCTAGAAGTCTTCACTCAGCCACAACCATCACAAACAAGTACGATGACTTCTTAACCTCTTCAGTGAACAGCTGGAAAACAGTCTTAACCTTCATGCTTTTTTGTTGCCCGCTTCCCGTAGGATGTATGTTTTTGGAGGATGGGTTCCTCTGGTAATGGATGATGTCAAAGTGGCCACACATGAGAAGGAATGGAAATGCACCAATACTCTTGCATGCTTAAATCTTGGTTTGTCTTAATGCCTTTTTCCTCTCAGAATTCAAAATGATCACTTTGGTATATACGGGTGTTCTTTTATGTTAATTGAATTTCTTCTTTTTTTTTACCACACATTACATTTTTCAACAGACAACATGTGTTGGGAAACAGTGTTGATGGATACTCTGGAGGATAACATCCCCAGAGCCCGTGCTGGCCATTGTGCTGTGGCCATCAACTCCAGACTGTACGTTTGGAGCGGTCGTGATGGTTACCGCAAAGCCTGGAACAACCAAGTCTGCTGCAAAGACCTCTGGTACCTAGAAACAGGTATGTGTTGTTCAACTAGGGTTGCCACTTGGGGGACACAAAGGCAAATTTAAATATTTTTTATTTTTTAAAAAGGTTAAAAAAAATGCCCTTGCTTTCTGTTACTGTCTTAAAGACGTTAATGGAGTAGTTGTCTTTGTTTTAAAATTGCAATAAGATGCTTGTCTGTGACAAGTCATGACTTCCCATATTTCAACTAAGATGTTGAAATAAAAAAACACCCTTGCTGATTGGTTATTTATTTATTTTTAAATTTTTTAAATTTTTCTTTCTTTCTCCATTATCAGAACGACCAAATGCCCCTGCCAGGGTGCAGTTAGTCCGTGCCAACACAAATTCGCTGGAAGTGAGCTGGGGTGCAGTGTCTACTGCTGACACCTATTTACTACAGCTACAGAAGTATGACATTCCGGCCACCCCGGGTGCAGCAGCACCAGCGATGAGTGCCACCCCATCACAGCCTGTGAGCTCTCCAAAAAGCCCTGCACCTGCGGCAGCAGCACCTGTTGCTCAGAGCCTTCCTCAGGCTGGTATGTTTGTGATAAACTTTTATTTATTCCCTGCATTTATAATGTTTTCTAACTAATCCAGACAGATTTATATTTGTCTCATTTGGGAAGCTCTAAAAGTTAATATCATCGTGTCCTGGAACTCACTACTAAAATGTTTTAATTTACTAAATCATTTCCATTTTGGCGTAATATGGTGCTTGATATTTTTAATCTATCTTTTATCATTGTTAATTTTGTCAAAAATGCAGGTAGTCATTTTGTTTTCAAAGTAAGATTTTTACAGTAGAGTGTGTTTTCTGGTATGTTTTTGATTAGTAAAGTTGTAAAATACTAATTCTGGAATCCACTGATCTACCTTCCCCTGTATTCTGCTTCAGTTTTGAAAGTTGCAACCCAACAGACTGCAACAGGTGCATCAGTTGTTACAGTACGTCCGAGCCAGCCTGGAAAATCTCCAGTCACAGTAACCTCACTTCCCCCAGGTGTCCGAATGGTTGTGCCTGCACAAACTACTCAAGGCTCGGTATGCAGATTATTACATCACAACCTCTCCTGTCAAACAATAGCAAACCTTTTTTTTAACTGTTCTTGACTTCTTTTTATTTAGGCGATTGGCAGCAGCTCCCAGATGAGTGGCATGGCTGCTTTAGCAGCTGCAGCAGCGGCCACACAGAAAATCCCGCCTTCCTCTGGCACTGTCCTTAACGTCCCACCTGGCACAACCATTCTAAAAACAATGGCTGTCTCACCCGGCACAACGACTATGAAAGTAGCTTCTCCTGTCATGGTATACTGCTCACTGTGTAATCCACATTTGCCAAATTGCATCCCCCCCAGGTGAACAAGACTCAATTGCTTAACTGATCTTTGCGTTTGTAGGTCAGCAATCCGGCCACACGCATGCTGAAGACCGCTGCAGCCCAGGTTGGCACAGCAACTGCTTCCTCCACCACCAACACCAGACCCATTATCACTGTGCACAAGTCTGGTACTGTCACTGTAGCCCAACAGGCTCAAGTGGTCACCACTGTAGTGGGAGGAGTCACAAAGACCATCACTCTGGTTAAGAGTCCTCTAACCATGGGCAGTACTGGAACCCTGGTAATGCAACTGACTCCAAGATCTCTTTCCCAATATAAAACCTGCATATTGTTCTAAACCAAACTTAATGTGTACTTTAAATAAAAGGTTTTGTAAATTGATTTCTAGTCCAAAAACAAGTATGTTTTGGCCTCTGTTGGAGAGGATGCATGCCTGTACTGTACAATGGTTTCTGGTGACTCACAAACTTGAATCTCTCTCTTTTGTCAGCAGATTTCCAACCTTGGCAAGATGATGTCTGTGGTACAAACCAAGCCAGTGCAGACATCATCTGTTACAGGCCAGGCTTCCACTAACCCCCTCACACAGATCATACAGGTCAGCTATCTGCATGAGTACAGCAAAAAATAAAAGTAAAAAAATAAACAGGAGGTACCTTTTAACCCCTGTGACAAACACCACCTGTCTCCAAATAATTTATTTCCGTATATTTATTTACTCTCTTGCTCTCTCTCTTGCTGTGTCTCTCGTTCAGACAAAGGGTCCTCTCCCAGCAGGCACTATTCTCAAGTTGGTCACCTCTGCAGATGGAAAGCCCACCACAATCATTACCACTTCACAGGCAGGAGGCACAGGAAACAAGCCCACTATTCTTAACATCAGTGGTGTCTCTCCAACAACCACGAAGCAGGGCACAACTATTATCAAGACGATTCCCATGTCAGCCATCATGACCCAACCTGGAAACACAGGTCTGAGCTCATCCGATTTTACTGTATGGCAAAAAAACTTGGCAGTTTTCATGTAAAAAAAGTAATTTGAATGGGGAAAATGCACAGATTATTTGACAAATTAAGTGCAGGATTATAACAAAGAAAACATTGCAAAAAAAAAAAAGTCCAGTAAGTGTAAAAATAACTTTCAGAGGGAGAAGTTGAAGAGTCACATGGCCTAAGAGCAATGTTTTTGTGATGCTTTGTCTTGCACTTAGTAGAAATAATATGTAATGTTTCCATGCTTTGTCTTGCACTTAGTAGAAATAGTCTTAATATGTAATGTTTCAGTCTTAATGTTTTGTAATTTTATTTAGAAAACTGACTACATGTTCAAAACACCTGAATTGTTTTATTTATACTTTTTGTCCCTGATAGTCAGTCCTTTCTTTCAGTTAGCATTTTCCTGTAAAGCTAGAGGACATTTTGCCGCTCCATTTTCTTCACTGCAACAAATGCTATAGATGTCCCAACCGTTAAATTTCCATCTCATCTTATATTTTTTGACACATATTGTCACATGTTGTTGACACATATTCTGTGCCTGGCACAAAAGAAAATCAGCTCATTAAACTCAATCTTCTACTTTGTAATGTATCCTTTAATCGATGCACAGCGCTCCTCAGTGGTTTCAAAACAAACAAAAAGGTTGTCCGAGGTAAGAATGTGTATTTATGATCTGAATTCTTTTGTCTCTGCAGGTGTTACAAGCAGTACAGGTTTGAAAACACCCATCACAATTCTGACTACAAAGGTGATGACCACTGGAACTCCTGGTAAAATCATTACTACAGTGCCCAAACTGGCGACTGCAGCTGGCCACCAGGGACTGACGCAGGTAAGGAAGGTTAGTACATTCATCATTCATCTGAATGTTAAGGTGCACAGGAGACTAATCCTGACTCTTGTCTTTGAAGGTGGTTTTAAAGGGTGCTCCTGGACAACCAGGAACTATTTTACGTACTGTGCCCATGGGCACGGTTGGGGGTGTTCGGCTTGTTACCCCCGTGACAGTGTCAGCTGTAAAGCCCACTGTCACCACACTTGTTGTGAAGGGCACAACTGGTAAGAAAGTAGTTTTTATAGGCGATTCACCATTTGGTGAATTACAATATATATAATTTATGACACCTAATTTATTTCAAATTCTAGGTGTCACCACCCTCGGAACAGTCACTGGTACTGTCTCCTCAAGCCTAGCAGGAGCCACTGTGGACACTTCCACTGCCTCTTTGGTAACACCCATAACTACGCTAGGAACCATTGCCACCCTGTCTAGCCAGGTCATTAGCCCAGCTGCCATTACTGCTGCAGCTGCTCAGACTAGCCTGAGCTCTGCCTCCACACTGCCCTCCTCTACCATCAAAGTTCAGGTAAGATTCAAAAGCTTGTAAATTTTCTTTTTAGGGGTTTTGTTATTTTTGACTGTAATAATGGTGTAGAACACAACCCAAGATAGCTTTGTGTCAAGTAAATGCCAAAACATGTACTGTAATTATTCAGGAATAGGTGGGTGATTTTTGCCAATTCCATTTTTTTTTTTTCCCAATTGACAACATCCTGATTGATCGGCGCACTCCTACAATCTAGTTACTAAGATTTGCCATTTGCCATTTTCTGGTTTCTGAAAATGGAGAAAAGCTTTTAGATTCAGTTTTGTTTAATTTTTGCCTTGGATTTCCATTTTTCCCATATATTTTTTTTCTTTCTAGACATAATAAAGTATCAAGGGGCAGGTTAAGAAACTGATAGCATTATCGAACACTTTCCACACAAGAAGGCTTAGTTACTCATCATCAGCATTAAACATGAACCCTAATGAGAATGTATCAAAATAATCTTGAACTACTGCTTAATTGGCTCGTTAGGCACATTAAAAAAATGCATGTTAATTCATAGCCACCAGTTCAGCTCAAACTTCATAAATATTGTTGTTTCCACAGACCCAACCCACTCAAGTGACACTGATCACAACTCCCAGTGGAGTAGAAGCCCAGCCAGTCCAGGATCTCCCAGTTTCTATTCTGGCTTCACCAACCTCTGAGCAGCCCAGTTCAAACGAGACTGGAGCAGCAGGAGAAGGTTCTGGGACTGTCACTTTGGTCTGCTCCAACCCACCATGTGAAACCCATGAGACAGGAACCACCAACACAGCCACCACCTCCTCTGCCACAATTGGAGCTGGGCAGGTCTGTTCTAATCCTCCCTGCGAGACCCATGAAACAGGAACAACCAACACAGCGACAACAGCGTCTTCAAACATGTCTGCACTTCGTGTGTGCTCCAACCCACCATGTGAGACCCATGAAACCGGGACGACAAACACAACTACCACAGCTTCAGCTAACATGGGTGGAGTCCAGAAAGTGTGCTCTAACCCACCCTGTGAGACCCATGAAACTGGAACGACGAACACAGCTACCACAGCTTCAGCTAATATGGGTGGAGTCCAGCAAGTGTGCTCTAACCCACCCTGTGAGACCCATGTGACAGGAACCACCAACACAGCTACCCAGGCATCATCAGGCATGAGCACAAGCCAGACAGGCACCGTTCAGAGGGTTTGTTCCAACCCACCATGTGAAACTCATGAAACAGGTACCACCAACACCCCATCCACAGCAACGTCCAGCATGGGAGGTGAGCAGACAAGCATAGCAGCAGCAGGGGCAGCTGAAACAACAGCAGGAGCAGCCGAAACAACAGCAGGAGCAGCAGCAAGCCCCGTTGTGTGCTCCAACCCGCCATGTGAAACACATGAAACTGGGACAACCAACACAGCCACTACTGCCACCTGCAGTATTGAGACAAGTGAGGGCAGAGGTAGGCATCTGTCTGTCTGTCTGTTTAGCCACCTTTTAACAAGACCTTGTCAGTGGTTTGTAGTTTTCCTCTCAATTGTCAAACATGATGCCAATAATCTTAACATGGCACACTATTCAAACACACGGTTAATACAACTCTAATATAATGTTTAAGGTTGTAGGCAAGCTTTTCAGTCTTGGTGCTGGTTGCAAAGACAAGACAAGGTATTGTTGGAAGAGCTAAAAATGTCTGGTGTATGAGTTCTAAACAAGCAGTGTTTCAGTGTAGTATTTGCTGCTAATTGTTACTGCACATCTATCTGCAAGAGTGAAATGACTGCTTATTTACTGCTAAATGACCAGAATTGGGCAAACGGGCTAATTCTGGAAAGAATAACTAGCTTAAATGCCAGTTATATTCAGTGTTTGTTGTCTAACAAAGTGACCTGACACGTGAGAGACTGAATGTCCTCAAAGCTTCTTGTATGTCACATAATATTCATCTAAACTTGATTGCTTTTCCAAAAGTGACACATTAAGCAAAACTACTAAGCTTATGAAGGTGCTATCCCTCAATGTTGGAAATAGTTTGGTGGCCTCTTTTACAAGTAATAAACTTGAAAAGAATAAAATCAGACTTTAATTGAGTTTTCATGTTCTTTTAGCAACTCAGCAAACAGAGGAAGGAGCTGAAGGTACCGGTGTCACAGAAGTGGCCACAACCACCGCAGCAATTGGTGTAGCCATCACTACCCAGGGAAGGGCCATTACAACTGTCACTCAGTCTACACCTGTGCCTGGACCCTCTGTACCGGTAACATTTCTGTTAAACAAATTAATTCAGTTTTATTGTCAAGATCGCAACATAAAATGTCTCCATAACATTTTTATATTGCAGTTTAAGTTAGCCAATATATTACAATGAATGTTCTATAGGTAAAGCCAGAGATAGCTTAACGTTTCAATTAAATTATTAAAAAATCTAGCCCTAAATTTCAACCCAATATGACCTAATTAGTGAATTATAACTATTATGTATAACTAATGTAGTTAAAGCTTGGTTAAGCTAAAATGTAAGAAAATTATATTTAACACTTTGATGTAAATGAGGCTTTAGGTAATTTAAAAATATTTGTGCTTGTTTTTTTGTGAAGACAATTTCTTCTATTGCTGAGGGTGTGAGTGAGGCTCCAATCTCTATAGAAGAACCAATGCAGACAGACGAGGCTACACCAGCAGCACCCACTGAGGAGGAAGCTACTGCCATGGAGACACAAGCAGAAGTAAACGTTGCTGTCATGAAAGCTAATGTTAGCATCATATAGACATAATCATCATTTGTTTCATCTAACATGTAAAATGTGTCATCAGGGTGAAGCAGCAGCCACAGCAGCAGTTTTGAACCTGCCCTCAGAGCTCATGTCCGAGGCTCAAGGAGCTACGCTTATGGTCACCGGTCTCTCAGATGAGGAGCTGGCTGTTACGGCCGCAGCAGAGGCTGCTGCTCAGGCAGCAGCCACGGAAGAAGCCCAGGCCCTTGCCATTCAGGCTGTTCTTCAGGCCGCTCAGCAAGCTGTGATGAGTGAGTACAGCATCAAATTCTTAACTGGTTTTCTACTGGTCTTTGTCTTGAGGAATCTGTTAACACATTGGCAGCATTACATCTAAACAATTACAGATGCATTCTGTAAAGGCTCTTTGAGTCTTTAGTATTCCATACTTTGCTTGTACACAATTATTGAAGCAGCATTACAGGACCATATTAATTTAATAAGAAAGAGTACCTCCTTGGGTTATTGTGAGTTGTTGTGAGATTATTCTTTGTATATTTTCTGTGTTCAGATGATGGAGATTCTGTACCAGAAAGCCAGCAACCCACCAACATTCCCATCATGCTAACCCAGCAGGAGCTAGCAGCCCTTGTCCAGCAGCAGCAACTGCAGGAAGCTCAGGCTGCAGCCCAGCAGGCAGCTTTAGAAACCAATTTACCCACGGAAGGCCTCGCTCCAGCCGACAGCCTCAATGACCCCTCTGTGGAGAGCAACGGGCACAATGAGATGGCTGCGGCTGTCACTAGCGCTGTTGTGTCTCTACTGCCACGTGCCACTGCTGAGAGTAGGTGTTATTGTATTTTACATGTCATTCTGATGTTTTATGCACAAAAGATCTAAAGAAACAATTCTGGGGTTTTTTTTTTCACTTCACAGCACTTGCTCCTTCAAGCACGTTTGCAGCTTCTGTGTCAGTGGCAAGTCCAGCTAAGCTGCAAGCAGCAGCTGCTCTTGCAGAAGTAGCGAATGGCATTGAAGGAGAGGTGAGTTTGTTCAGTCCATGAAGTTCAAAAATGGAAGATAATATAAATTAATGTCTTATGCAGATACATTTTCTTCTTTGGTTTTTAGAAACAAGCTCCAAAGCCAGTCCCAGTGAAACCGGTTGTAAAGAAAGAGAACCAGTGGTTTGATGTTGGAATTGTTAAAGTGACAAATATGGTTGTCACTCACTTCTATGTGCCAGCTGATGATTCTCTTGGAGATGTAAGTGTTTCAGATGGCTTACTCTGGTGCTTTGTGAGTGAAGTTGCTCTGTGCATCCTTAACAACAGCTGTTTCTTCTCTTGCTGCTGCTTTGCAGGACGATTCTGGCGTCATGCCAGACTACAGCCAGATGAAGAAAATGGAGTTACAGCCAGGAACAGCCTACAAGTTTCGTGTTGCTGGAATCAATGCATGCGGTCGTGGAGGCTTTTCAGAGATATCAGCTTTCAAGACATGTTTACCGGGTTTCCCTGGAGCTCCTTGTGCCATCAAAATCAGCAAGGTAAACTGTTGGATTGTCTTTCTCTTTTCCAAAACGCAATGCTGAGACACTGTCCAATGACTGGCTTTTCCATCATATACTGAATTAATGAAATTGATTACAATTAACTGCAAAACTAAACCTTAAAATTGTAAAAAAAAAAAAAATTAGACATTTGTTTAAATATTTAATTTTAATTATTAAAAAGCATGGTGACGGTTTCTTAGTACCAAAGTTAGGTGCAGTATCACTGCTTTTTCCTTTTAGTATTCTATTTTAAATCACAGTGATTAAAAAATCATTTTTTTCAGAATACACATGTACAATTTAAAATGGTAAAAAAAACCACCCAACAGACAAACCTCTATGCAGGTTTTGAATCAGAGTCATGTGCTCCTTTTCACTCATGAACTTTTCTCTACAGAGCCCAGATGGTGCTCATCTGACCTGGGAACCACCGTCTGTAACATCGGGAAAGATCATTGAGTACTCTGTGTACCTGGCCATACAGAGCAACCAGACCACAGAGGCCAAGGCCTCCACCCCGGCCCAGCTCGCCTTCATGCGTGTGTACTGTGGACCCAACCCCTCATGCTTGGTGCAGTCGACGAGCCTCTCCAACGCCCACATCGACTACACCACTAAACCCGCAATCATCTTCCGCATCGCCGCTCGCAATGAGAAGGGCTACGGTCCTGCCACCCAAGTTCGATGGCTTCAAGGTGAGCACAACGTCATACATTGTACCATATAGATTATCACTTCAACTTTTTTTGTTCCCCAGAAGTATTTCTAAACTTATTAACACACTCAATTTCTTATAAATGGAAGCTTTACATTTCCCCAAAGCAACACACAGCTGTCAACATTTTATATTTTATACTGTTCTTCAAGTTTGTAGGCAATAAAAATGTAAAAAGTATTTTTCTACTTTACTATTTATTATGTTTCATTAGCCAGTTGGAATCTACAGAATGTTATGCATTTTCGACATCTTGCTTTCTGACGGGTTCAACCAGGTTGGGGTTGATATTTTGCACATCAAAGATGTTTTTCTTAAGTAATCGATGATGGAATTTTGAAAATCGATTTATAATCGTTCAAGAGGCAGTTGCGTTGCAAAAATTATTCCCCCACTCTAAGGAGAAATAGAAGAAGAGATAATGTACATGCTACATACTACTACTAATAATGACAATACTGGTATCATTTATGCTTAGTTCCATTCATTTTTTTTGCAATAAAAAAAGAAAAATAATATGAAATGTATCTGATATTATGTTGCTTTTTGTAAAAAGAAACATGTTTTTTTACTGTTTCTTTGTTACTCATTTATAACATGGTTTTTTTTTTACTGTTTCTCTGTTACTCATTTATAACATAAATATAAATTAAAGTTTAATATCTAATTGATACCCTAACCAATTTTTCTTTGTAGAATCGGGTAAAGATGCAGCATCTGCAAAACCGGCCACAAAAAGACCAGGCACCTCTCCTGATGTGTAAGTTCAATATTGTGTTCATGAATACAAACTGATAACTGAGCAAGAATTGATCCAAGCTCCAAAAAACCCTTTTCATATGTTCATTGATTTAGTTCAATTCTGTTCAAGAATACATTTAAATATTTCAGCAGTTTCATCCTCCAAGACTTAATTTGTTGACAAGAAGTGAGATCTTGTAGAGTACCAGGAAAGCTTATCGGATTTTGAATTTCTAATAACAATTACCAGTGCAGTTCTCCAATGCTTTAGGGATAGATGTTTAGTCATATGTAGGAATTCACTTTTTGATTTATACTGGACAATCAACCCTTCATTCTGTTTACAGTACGTGTACTTAAAGATTTAACCTTGCGTAAGAGAGACAGGGTGAATAAGGTTAGCTCTACAGTACCTCACTTTAAGGTGAGGATAGAAAAAGCAACTAGGCTAGCATTTCATTGGCAGCTAACATGAACAGATTTCACATTGATGTTATTGATTTGAGGAGAAACATGTAACACTCATTCTGAATTTGTGTGTGTGCATTGCAGTAAGGCTACTGGTCCAAAGAAAGCAAGGTCGGACCAGTGAGATTGTGCAGAGATCTTCTTCCTCTTCCTCCTCCTCCCAGTTTTTGTCCTTTATTTTACTTGCAGTTCTGTATAAAGAAGACTGGCCTTCACCCTCCTCCACTTTCTCATTTACACCTACCACCCCTGAGTCTCAGATCCCCTGCCCAACTAGCTCTGTTGGTTGCACTAATTTTATAGCAACTCCAACTTAGAAGCTCATTATCCTCGTTCAGCCATGTTTTTCATCTTTAACACCTTTTTTTTGGCTTGTTTCAGTAGTTTAAGCTTTTACATCTTCCACAAACTGGGAGTCAGCTGAGTAAAGTTACCTTTTTTTTGTCCTTGTTTTTTTTTTTTTTTTTTAATCCTGGGGGGATGTAGAGAGAGACTACATTAAATGATGTACAATGTTGAGAGGGAGACAGCTGTGGAATTATTAGTTTAGACAAGAGGAAAAATCAGTATGGAATTATAAAAGCACTTGTCCTTTGTGGAAGAGGACATCATTTTTTCCTTTGTTTTTGCTCCAAATTTTCATCATCAAGAACCAAGTCTGTATAGTCTTCATTGTACCGGACTCCGTTCTCCTGCTAAAGTCATCACTGTGCGCTTTTTACCCCAAGATACGGACTGTTGTTTGACACTTGGAAGTGGACGAGGATAAAAGAAGAAAAATGACGAAGGAGATTTGTTGAGAAAGAATGAGAGACTCTAGGACTGAGACTTGCAGCACACAGAAAACATAAGGCGAAAACCTTCCTAAAAATTAGCAAGCAATGATGCAGATTTTTTCTGTAGTTTATTTTTGTATTTTTAAGCTTTTTTCCTCTTCTGTGTATGTGTATGTCGTGTGCATTTTTTCTTCTTTTTTTTTAAAAAAGCTTCATTTTTTTTAACTGTTGCTCATCCCTTTCCTTTTCTTTGTAGAAACGCTGGGTGTCTTTTGTCGAGGCCTCCACAATGTTTTAAATGGAAAAAAAAAGAAAAAAAAAAGAAAATCTGATTAAGTTGGTCACATGTTCCCATTGTTGACAGGAGGTAAGAAAAACAGACTTCGTATTTGTTCCAGTAGAACCACCTAGGTTTTTAGGACTGAAGGGAACTTTTTAGTAGACCCAGGGAGAGGAGAATAATTTTCTTTAATTTTAATACTCACTGCTTCTGTTACTTTGTTTGCCAAACATGAGTTCTCATGTAGGAATAAATTCAACCTTTTCACTTCTGTATCTCATTCAGTTGTCCTACTATGGTTTAAGCTCATGAATGTGGTCTACACCCTTTTTGTTTTTCAGAAAGACAAATCATATTATTTCTCCTGTTCTGTTGATATATTGAATCAATGTGGGTTCAGTTCTTTCCTTCTAAGGCTCTATATTTTTATACTGCATATATGTGCAGGACCACTGCACCTTCAAAATTCACAAACGCCCAGTTACAATATGATCCAGCAGAGGGCGATCTAAGTCCAACTTCAAAGCCTTCTTGCCAAACAGTAACTGAAAATATGAAGGGTATGTTTCGCTCTTTTAAAGTGAAAGGTAAACAGTCTTTGAGGCAACAAATGTGATACCAAAGTGTCTGAAAAGCAACAAAATTGAACTTGTGTTTCACAGAATGCAAACAATATTTTTTTAATCTGTGGTGCTGGCTCGTGCCTCTGTGCCTGCAGTATTGGCGCATTTAAGTGGCTGCTTGCTCACGTTGGCAAACAGTTTCAACAAAAACCTAATCAGAAGTGTGAAGTGTACAGCTAGAGCTTTCCCCCCACACATTTCCACCCGTGTTTTGTTATATATATTAATGCTTTGTGTGTGCACAAGGAACATAACGTATTTAGACCAACTGTCAAGAAGTCCTGATGGATGACTTTCAGAGGACACCTGACACAGTAGCTGTCCCTTTATCTCCAAATGTGTGGTATGTTCTTTTGGAATATGTAATGTTATTAAAAGTTTTTTCCATGCTTCTGGTTAAGTTTTCTGCTTAAAGCAGGTGCAGAGGTATTAGTTCTGTTTTGTAACTGCTGTTTTCTTTTAAGCAAATGTTAATTAGTACTTAAGGTAGGCTGATTTCCCAGCAACCATCAACTATCTGTCTGAGCAACGTTATGAAAAAGCAGCAGCAGCACAATTAAGATTCAAATGTGCAGCTTTATGTACCTTTTAGTGTCACATTTGTCAACTCATGAGGACCAGGGTGACTGGGCTCACTTGCTTGCAGTCAGGCAGTGAACTACTGGAGGTTTTATTCTGTTATTGATGAGGCTCAAAATGCAATAATTATCAACTAAATTGAAATTTTAACCCCTATGTTTCAATGCACGGAGTGCGCAAGCTGTCTGAATGAGGGATTGTCCTGAGAAAGAAAGGTTTACGTAGCTACAGTTTTTTCACTTGTAAATTAGTTGGTTCATAAAGCAAGAAATAAAAAAAAGATACTGGCCTTTTTATAACTTCCTGTATCAAACTGTTTTTACATGTTGGTCATCTCTTAATTGCCTTTTGTGTCTTATAAAATAATTATATATATACATATAAATATACATAGTCTCCCTGATTGTTCTAATTCACTGTAGGAGTCTAAATCACTGCTAGCTTCACACTTGCACAGGGAGATTCTACTTTTTAAGCGCAAAATATGTTTGATGTTCAGGACGGAGTGTTAAGAACTGAGGTGTGGCCTCTTTTTCCTTGGCCAACAACCTGGTTTTCCCCCATTTGTGGTTTCTCCCTCTCTTTCTAGAAACAAAACTTTTTCTTCATATGATTTTTTTTTTTGTGAGTGTCGGTGTGTCTGTTAAAACCAAACTAGACATGCATGCAAAAGCAGTGTATTTAAGTAGTGACACCTGAAGTTACAACATAACCTGAAGGATCGCAACAAGAAAAAAAGCTTTTAATAAGTTTGTTCCTCTCTAACTCTCCCTCTCTCTCCATGTGGTATACAATTGTGTCCTTTCCTTCCACAGTACCTATGCTGGGTCACTATTTTTGCACCCTGATTAGATAGGTCATCAGCATTGCCGCTGTCACTCTAAAACTTTCCCTCCCTCACTGGGGCAAGTGCTGCCCTCTCGTGGCACTTGCAGGCGTAACGAGTTTCTGATGGCTGTTTGCTGGTTATTTGGAAATGTCCTGTATTTTCCAATGTGTGTTTTTTGTACTGTAGGGAGTAATGTATCTTTTATCATCAAAAAAACGAATAAACATGTAAAACAGACATGTGTAGTTCTTAGTTTTTCTACCATTCATACATGTCAGCATAATTAAAACTAAAAATGCTTATTATTATAAGCTAAATACATTTTATGATATGCTTTTCATTTGTTCATTATGCACCATAATTTAACACATCCAAGCCTAGAAGCCCAGTTTGCCTCCAAATCTGAAAAGTGTAATCAGGGTCTAGCATGTTTTTTTCCCAAACATTTGATGATAGTCAGTGACAGCCTGGGACTTCTGAACAACATTTATATCAGGCATTATTTGTCAAAACATATATAAGACACCCCTCTTATGACAAGTATGGGGTTGACATCTCATGCCACTGCAAAATCATAATTTCTTGTCCTTTGTCCTGAAAACTATAATGAAAAACTGCCATTATTTTTAAACATTACTCAGTTTGTATGCTTCAAATAGGAAGGACCTGACCAATGAAGAAGGAAATGGACTAATCATCAGTGTATCAGGTGTTTCAGTCAAATCTTTGCTGTGTTGGCGCCTAATGAGCTGAAAATTGTTAATCTTGGCAATATATTCCAGAAAGATGACGGAATGAGCTGTGAATAATACTGTATTACACTGTAAGAGTCTGAAGGATTTTAGAGTTGGTCTCTAAATTAATTAACCAACTTAGCAAAAACTAGCAAAACAAAAAACCCCATAGCAAACAGTTTAGCTTAAGTTAGCAAAGACATAGGCCTAAAGAAATGAACTATGATAGTTGACAATTAAAATAATTTTAAGTACCAAAATTGGTTTCAGTTACTCTCTCCAAAAACCATAGGCAGCCACAGCAGATTTTAGTCTTTGACTTCATTCTGGCTGGTGAATGCTCTGTGTTGGCCTCTCTGTAACTGACATGGAGTTGGTGAGTAGCTCTGTCAGCAGCAGGTGGATGCCGCTTGTGGCCTTTCTGATAACTTATCAGTTACAACACCCCAGTCCTGTAAGAGCAGCCCAACCCCTGCTGCTATTATTGCTGATCCTCCCCCTAAACCATGGATGTTAACTCTGTATATATTCTAAACATAACCTAGCTCTTTGCTTCATTACACTCATATCATTTTTTAAGAAAAAGTCTTTGTGGCCATGCAGGGATATAAGATATGTTTGTAATTTAAGCAGAATCTTATTTGCCCTTACATATGAAAATATAGATTTAATTAGTATAACATATAAGTATAAGTATAAATTAGTATAACAACAAAGTCAAATGACTGCATTTTTTTTTT